AAAGAGACTAATTAAATATACAGGGACTGATTTGGTAAATCAATGATTCTTATGGTGTGGGCCAATGATCCATGGTTAGTTAGGATGGGCTAAACCAACATGGATAGTCCATGGAGGTTTAACCCATGGAGCCTAAGTAATATGAAGAGTCATGGCACATTAGGGTTTGCACGAATGTAACCCTAACAATTGTCACACTATAAAAGGAACCCCCTAGAGCCAAAATCGGTTTCCACATACATTCTTGGAGAGTGTGAATCAATTTTGTGCTAAGTAACTTATTCTCTCAAGCCTTCTTTTGCACTTGGTGTTTGTGACACATTAGAGGCATCACACATGAGGTGCTAAAGCTTTTGAAGGCCAAGAACTACAAGTCCTGTTAAGAGGTAAGTTATTTAACTAGTTATTTTGTTCAATTGTATGATAGTTAGGATGAATGCTTTGGAAAATCAAATTGCATGTATAATTAGAGAAAACATAGATCAAAAGCATCTAGGGTTACATGTGCACCATAAGGTTGTTAGAGTGCTCAAAACCCATCATTTATATCCACCAATTTTGCCTTTTTGGCAAAAAATGTATTTCTCATTCATTTTTTCTCTAGAACTCACTCATCTAACATCTTATATTGACTTAAACTTGTGTTGACCATCTTCATGAAGTTACAACTTCATATTTTCATCTTTTTCTCATAAATGACCAAATTGTCCTTTTTGGTCATTATTTGACTAAAAGTCAATCCTTCTAAATTTTGGGTTGTTACAAACAACCTCCTCTAATGTGCACCCAGGAAGACACGCTGTAAAAGGAAGACAAAGGATAGTTTAGAAACACATACTAACGGATGGACTCCGACATTGCTCTTTGATGCCTAAGTTAGATGTCAATCGGATCTATAGGTAAAATTGCTTAGGTTTTGAAGATGATGCTTACGCGTCGATGTGCACTTGACTGTCCTTTTATACATGCAAGTTGGTTCGAGTTGTTGCCTTCCTAACTGGGTATTGCCTTTGTACAGAATTTGCAAGGGTAGAACCCTTCAATAAAATAATATTGCATTTTCCATGTTTCCCGGGATATTGCCTGAGAATCCATATGAAGGATTTGTTTGCTATAATTTATTGCTATTCGGTATGCTTGATCGGGTTTTATTTATTATTGGCTACCGGCCTATATTGTACTTGGGCTTCTTGTGTCTTGATTTGTTTTTAAGTGTATCGGCCTATCCTTGTGTGTAGACCTGGCAAAATATGCCACAACACGACAACTCGGCACGAACCCGACACAAAGTTAGCGGGTTAGGGTCAGAGATTTCGACCCGTTTATGTACACGAGTTGACACGACACGACACGATAATTAAACGGGTAGGGTTAGGGTCAAGACTTTCAACTCGAAGATGACCCGAAGATGACCCGTTTAATTATATATATATATATATATATATATATATATATATATATATATATATATATATCATATTTTTATAAATATTTTCAATATTATACATTTGTAGTGGCCCAAATTCAAGAATTAAAAGTAAAATTCAAACTTTCAAAATGACTTAATTTTACTCCTCCTCACTACCTATCTCATTTGCTTCCTAACTCTTAACTCTTTCCATTTTGCTTTCTAAACTTACTACTACCTCCGTCCCATATTTATTGTCTAATTTTGACTGTTGAAGTCTTTATTCTTCAAATTTGACCTTAAATATTTTTGTTTTTGATATATAACACTTAATACAAAATATACGAATAGATTGTGTTCTAAATGTCTTTTCATTGTTATAAGTTTTATCAAGTAATCTATAACACAAATAAAACTATTTAAGGTCAAAGTAGAAAAAATAAAAACTTCAAAAGTAAAAAATGGACAATAAATATGGGACGAAGGGAATATAACTTTTTTTCCGTTCCACCTCCCAACTCCAACATTTCACTTTATCATTTTTTTTCCTCCATGACTCTTACTTTTCAACCTTTAAAATGTTTCAATCCGAAATGACACAACATATTTATAAGGTTTAAACTTTAACCCGAAACCCGACGCGAAATCGACATGAAAATAAACGGGTTGACACAACACGACACGATAATTAAACGGGTCGGGTTAGGGTCAAGCACTCTCAACCCGTTTAATGTCTTGACACGACACGAACCCGACACGACACGACACGTTTGTCAGGTCTACTTGTGTGTAGGACGTTCCCCATACACCATTAGAGGCACATGGGAAGCTTCTCTGTTGTTAATTAATTCAAGTAAGCGATAAAGTTGATTTGGTTTTCTTTTGATTGTTTGAGATATTTGTTCGTGGTTTCTAAATCATCAAATTTTGTTTGTGAAATACCCACATTATAACGATGGCTTTGATAGTAGATGTGAAGAACTGAATGTGACCTAATAATATGTGGTATGCGAAAGTTTGGGTATTTAGTTTTCTTATTGCCTGAACACATAAATACGTAATGAAAGTAAACTCTTCAGAATTTTGTGTATAGAACATGGTTAAAAACTGATATTTAATAAATTAATGAGATATCGAGCCTTTAGCAATCTAGACTGATATCGTGTAATTTTTATTATATATATTGATATATTTTATATTAATTTTTATAATCTTATAGAACATAACAAAAATATTAAAATCGTAATTATTTTAGAATATTAAAATTCTTATATATCTATATAATCTTAAAAATTATAAAAATAAAAATTTATTTATAGAATATTTTTTATTTTAAAACTAAATGACATTGGCGATGGCAGACAATAGCCAAAAATTGATTTAAGAATTCATCATGTATTATGAATTGTGTAGTGGTTTTGTTTGTTATGCATTCTAAAAGCAAAATAATAATAATAATAATAATAATAATAATAATAATAAATAATGTTGTAATATGCCCCAACAATGTATGTTATTCATCTTTTATTTGATTTGGGTGTATATGAGTAAGTTGTCACTACAGAGGATCGAAAAAATGATGGACTCTCTGCTGCATAGTGCCCCTAAAAATAGTCAGCAATTGGATTTTTGTTTTCCAAAATGCAACAACTACAATGGTTTTTCAAGACCGTTGAATAACTTTAGGCGTTGTTGCATTGATGTAAGGAGAAGAGGAGAAAAGATAAAAGATAAAAAGGAGAATGTTTAAGGGAAAAGGGTATAAATGCTCTACGAATTTTCTATGGTTGGTCTATTTAGTCCCTAAACTATTTTCGTGGTTTTAAAAGGGAGCGAGGTAATTTTTGTCAGGTCGATTACGTCCTTATGACCAAAATGAAGGGGTCACCAGGTTACATTGACATTTGTTGACTAATTTTCCCACATTGACTTTGAATTTTGCTTATGTGTCAATAATTTTATTGTCTAGGTACAACCTCTTGAAGCACAAGACCACCTTATCCCTCCAACAACCAAGCACACAAACTCCTCCTTATACCACCATTAAACCATCCTTACACCACCCCTACCAAACCCGAGAACTCCAGCCGAACTCCACCCATTAACCACTACTACTACCACCTCAGATCATCCGAACCCCTAATAACCTCGATATGAAACCCATTTAGACCGAAAACAACAACCACCTTTAACCACCGCTTCAACCATTAATATTGCCAACACCATCGACGGATCTTCACCCCGTCACAGCTCCTCCTTATCTCACCCACGTAAACCACCATAGCCGAATTCTACCACCTCTGGTTCCATTCTCCTCGACGAACACAACAACCGGACATCTCAACTCCATCGTTTCACCTAGCCACCACCTTCACGGCTCCCTTAAACCACCGCCTGTGAACCCCGAGAACATCTGTCATCACCTTCGTGAAAAACCATCACCAACATCGTAGCCAAACCTCCAAACAAGAAACGACCACCTTATACTGACCGGAAACAAACATCACCGTGAGTTCTACCTCCGCCAAACCAACACGGGTAACCACTGCCACCTACGGTTTAACCCAAAGCCACCACCACCAATAAAGCCACCTGTTGCATTCGTGTTTCTCACAAACCGAAACCACCATCTCTACCTTCGTTTTCTTACAATCGAGCATCACCAGACAACCACCACCCCTTCTATTGTTTTTCACAGAACCAAAAACATAAGCCATCGATTTGTTTTTGAGTAAAATAGAAGAAGAAAGAAGGAAATATTTGTGTGTGTGATCTCTTTCGAACAAGAGAAAAGGAGGAAAATATTGATTGTCTGTCATCTAAACCGGCTAAAACAAATAAATGGACTAAAAGGACAGGTTGCCCACAACTTAGTTCCCTCATAAGCCATAAAGTCACGCAAAAACTTAAGTGACTAAAATGGTCAACCCTAAAAAGTTTGTGAGCTATATGTGTCATTTTCTCTTTTTCCTAATGACATAAACGCAACCGATCAAAAATTAAGCCATAACTGTTTTTAATAATAAAATGAATTAAAATTCTTGTAACGAAAAGATTATGAACTTTTCTGATCAATTAGTGGTGATTAGTTAGCCGAAGCCAATTTCAGGTTTGCATTTACATACCTCTATGCATGCAAAAAGGGCTTTGGTAATAAAGTTTACACAACTAAAAAACCTTTGTACATACATATAAACACATTTTCTTTTAGCTCTCCCACCTATGTTTTTATCCAACTCTCTCAACTACCATAATTTGATGATAAATTTCACAGTCATTGGATGTTCAATATACCAAAACAAAGGTATTATGGAGAAGAACATAAATATTTTAACATTTATCCATCAATGTATAGAATTCTGAATTTATGTCAAAATTTGGGAAAACCCCATTTTTGGAAAATAGGTAAATTCCATTTTTCCAACTTGAAAGAAATAAATGAAGTTTGCATGCTTCTGATGTACTAATTAAACTATCATAGTTCTCTTTCACTCTTTGATGATATCATGAAGGCAATTATGTCATTTTCCTACTATTTTGTAAATCAACTCCTCCAAGAGCCTTTCTTAAGTCACCTTAAAATCATGAACACACCAGAAAATTTACTTACCAATTGATTAGCTTTTTACTACATGCATGCATTCTTTTCAATAAACATGCTTGTATGTTGGAGTTATGTGCATATTAGTTTTAGTGGTTCTCCATATCTTTACATAAACAATTTAAACTCCACAACAAACAAACATAAATCGAAAGAGAAAACAATCACGAAAATGTTATTAACATGAAAGTTTGTTTCCAAGGATCGATTGAGTCTAGATAGCACCAATGTTCTTGAGGCCCAAAACAACACCAACACCAATAATATGACCAACAGTCCCACAAGCTAAAGTATCAGCAAGAGTGAAGCCAGCAGGGTCGCCGGTTTGGAGTCCTGAATCCCTTACCTCAAGCTTTAGCCCCGCAGTTGCCTTCCTGTTTGCTGATGGTGCCAATCCAAATCGACCAGCAAACAACATCAAGGTTGTTGATGTCACCATGATCTATATATCCAAACAATTAGCATATAGAAACTCTCAACTATTCGTTTATTGTCATGCATTCATTTGATATAATTGTATATAAAAATGCTTGAATAGAAATAATTTACCAAATTTGTGGACGACCCAATAAAATCACAACGAACACCTAGAGCTCCCTTTCCCTTTCCCTTAGGCTTCATTGGTAATGCTACCTGTCACATGATTGTATTTTATAACCACATCAGTTTTAAGTATAACATATGAAAAATAAAGATGTAGAAAAAACAAACGGTGTTTTTTATAATATAATTAATTACTAAGAGGAATATAAGATTTATAAACATTATACTCATTACATAATCAGAACAAACGAAAAACAAATTACTTGAGTGATTACTAGTAAATAGAAATTCCTCCAAAAAAAATTAATTCTTTTTACAAATGCTAACATTTTTATTTAAATTACTACAAAACATGAAAATTGATTACTAAGTACCAAAAAAATAAGAAACATATAAACTTTTTGGGTATATTTGACTTTTTTTATTATAATAAACCACTACATTTAATCAAACATACATATTTAATGGGTTTTTCATATTTATATATCTACACAATTCTCAGTAACCATTCGTTCTTACAAATTTACCATTTTCACATTTATGAAACAACCATTATTAGTTTGCAACAACGAAAAAAGGCCGATCACGGTTGACTTATTGAATTACCTTACTTTTACTTGCTGCAAACTAGAGGTCGGTAAAAATATTTATAACGTGTAGTAACAAGATAAAAGTTGCTTAAAACTGGATTTTTAGTGTGTATACTAAAATTTTAAAATATTATTATAATAATATAATTTTTGTCATTATATCTAATATACTTGCAATTGTTAAAAACTAAAAGAACTTGGACAAATCATGTCAACCCGCACCAATTCATTTCAACGCATAAAAACAATTTTACCAGTTACCTATTGTATTTGGCAATATAAAATGACTTTTTTCATGTTTCTACACAAGACATTTGTTAATTTAAAAACAAAAAAATCGACACAATGATTCAAAAAAACTATTACAAGAAGTAGAATAAACTTACCATGCTTTGGATTGGGGCGGGTGATGGTGAGGTGGCTTTGAGGCCAGTGAATTGAGGGAGAGAAGACATGAGAGCAGTTGCCATTTGTGATTTTCTTTGAGTTTGAAAAATGGATTTGCGAATGATCTTAAAGCAGAAGCTACATGAAAGAGCAGAGGGTTTATGGCCATGGAAACTTGGAGTAGGATAAACTATGATCCTTGTTGTCCACATGGCTATCTGTGGTTGGTTACTCTATATCCACTAGATTGTATTGGTTTGTTATTTTATAATTTTTTAATAATATAACTGTATCTTTATTTTTCTATTTTTCTTTGGTTAGATATCTTAAGTTCTTAACAAAAAGATTTATAAATCATGTATTTACGAAGTTTTTGAATAGTGGGATTTCAAACATTATACTTAGATAATTGTTTAACTATATGGTACAGGATAATTAAGGATTTTTATGTTTATCTTTTAAAAGTCAAGACTTATTTTAACAAAATTTTATCTGTTTTTTAAAAACTGATTATTACAACTATTAAAAAAAAATCAACACTGTAAACATTAAAATGTTCTAGACCAAATTGCAAAAATGGTCCCCGTGGTATGATTTTTTTGGGGTTTTAGTCCAAACCCCGAGTTTTTTGGCTTCGTGGTCATTTTGAGGTAGTTTCATTGCAGATTTGGTCCCTTGGTAAACTGAAATGACTTTAATACCCTTGGTATTTATTTTCTATTTCTAAATTCATTTTTTTTTTAATTTTTAATAATTATTTATTCATTTTAATAATTAAAAAATGAAAGGGCTCTCTGTTGGGATGTCAAGTCCACCAAGCAAATTACACCCTTTGTTTGCAAATAAAACGTAATATAATAGTAAAAAGGGGTATCGATCCTCGGGGAAATGGTTGTATTCAATCACCAATGCATCTAAAAGAACTATTGTAAATAAACTAACTAACTACAATTAAACTAAAAAGGGGGGGGGGGGTGTTATGATTGCTTGAAAACTAAAAGACTCGAATAACTAAAAACTTGCAATTAAGCAAGATAGTGAGATGCTCACAAAGTGGAGAGAGTTGGTTAACTAAGGAAATTCAACACAATGAACATTTGTGTGCTTATCATTAGGATTCAACATGAAGCTTATCATTCATCCCAAATTGGTTATAGCAATCATGAAGCATGATATGCCAAGATTCCTCTTAGGTAGTATGGAGGTTGGGGAAGCCCACAACACACCCTCTTAATCAAGATCAAGGGTTTAATTGAAGCAATTGAACCCAAAAAGTTAATTAGCCTTAAGAAAGAAGGAATCCCCAATTCCTAGAGGATGTCAATGCTTACACATCCATAAAGGAGCTATGATTCATAAACTAGAGATTATTTTTACCATCATAAAGCCCTTGTTCTAAGTTAATTCAATGATTCAATGCAAAACCAAAGAAATTAAACTAACAATAGCTCATTCAAGTGCCAAGCTCATGATCAAAGCATTAAACGAGCATAAGAAATATGATCTAGAACCATAAACATAAGATAATTGATAATCTAGCATGAATCCTTCAAAAACCCACAAACATTCAAAGGTTTTAACCAAAGTTAACCAATATAAAGAGTTTAGCCACTCATGGCAATAGAACAACAATCACAAAAGTCTAATTGCATAAAGAAACTACCAAAAATCTTGGAAAGATGAAGAGAAATGAGTCTTGAGCTTCCAAAATCGCCTCCTCCAGGTCTCCAATGGTGTAAAATCGAAGTTATGGCTGCTAGGTCTCATCCCCCAAGGTTATGGCAAGCCAAATGACCAAAATGCCCAAAAAAATGGGCAGTTGCGCGGGTACCCGCGCGACGAAAATTCCACCCGCGCAAATGTTGCTGTGATGCTATTGGTCCTTCATTCCACCACTCCACCCTTCCACTACCAAAGATTCCTTTGGTCCCCTCCATATCCATGAGATTTTAAATCAACCAATCATCTTTTAGCTTCAAATGTGGATGCTCCAAACCCAAATTAATTATCCATGATCCATCTTCACAAGTCCACTTCATCCAAGCCTTCAATTCTTTCAGGCCCAATTCTTCTCTTATCGATCCGCCAAGCCCAATAGCGCCTCGAGAGCCCACAAATCCGTCTTCACTGTAATCCACAATCGCAATAAGCTCCAAAACCCTGCAAAATTCCTCATGCAACATAAAAAGCACCCGGTACGATCCATACTAAAGAAAATAAAGAATATACAATGCAATACTAATAAAAAGAGCTAAAAAATCTAAAATAAACTAATAAAAATAAGGAAATAAAATAAGCTATCACTCTCTCTCTCTCTCTCTCTCTCTCTCTCTGTAGAATCGATTAGCTGCCAAGAATTGATTGAGTATCTACCAGAACACTATCATCATCTTCTTCAATACCTTTATATTCTTCAAAAATCAAACCCAGCTCACCCATTACCCATTAGCTCCTCACCATCGTCCCTCCTTCCACTCCATCTCTCCTATCTTTCTCTCTCTTATGCTTCTGCATTCACAGTCGATCCGGTCACATATTTACTGATCCGACCACACAACCCTAGACGAACCCAACACCAAAATACTGCACCATGTCCATTAGCTTTCATGAACTTCTTCAACAGAAGAATAACAATAGCAATAATGAGGGCTAGGGTTCAACTCCCCCTTGTGCTCTTCTCCCAGATCAATTTCTGATTGCTTGATTAGATTTCGTTCAACCCTCTACGGAGAAAATGACCCCCGCAGCTTTGTTGACGTGGACACGTTCTTAGGCGGTGACATCGCCTTCTTCTTCGTGCTGGTCATTTTGGGTCTGTTTAGAGATACAGAAAGTGGTAGACTATGAATCTTTAATTGAAATTTAGCCACGACGGCAGGAGGCGGCGGCGTCTTGATTAGAAATTTGTGAGGGGTGGTCTGACGGTGTAACGCCCGTAGATCCGGGCTAGTCAATTTAGAGATAATAGGGGTCGAAAACGACTTTTCGACAAAAGATTATTTAGAATAAATAATCTTAACCAAGTTGTAGAATATGTCTCAAGGTTTCCGTACATATAAAGAACGCCGAAATCCGAGTTATAACGAAAAAGTTATGACCCGCCGAAGTTTTACGGCAAAACCGGCACGGCACCGGGAGACGTAAATAGTGAATTTACGATAGAGCGACTTTTAGCCTTAGCGATCTAAACGGAAGTCGTAGAAAACGTTAAACCGAGAGCTTCCATAAAAAGAACGCCCAAATCTGACTTCGTATGCGGAAGTTATGATTTTTCGAAGTTTCGGCTTAGCAGTGTACAACCCGAAGTTCGAATATTAGATCGAGCGGTTTTTAGCCGACACAACCTAAACGAGAATCGAAGATCTCGTTAATAGTAGCATAATGATAAAAAGACAGACGAAAACAGACGCCGGATGAAGAATACAGCCTGTTAAAAATATAAAATTTAAAATAAAGTCAAAATTAGCCGACGGAGTCTAAACGAAAGTTGTAGAATACGGTCCCGCCTACGCGTGGATATAAAGAATGTCGATAATGGAGCTCGTATGCCAAAGTTATGATTTTTAGAAGTCGGAAAGTGAATTTGCGAAATCTAATGTGAGAATGACGATGTGGCTCGATCTGGGCCGTCGCTTACTGATCACGGACTCGACTCAGATGGGTGACAGCTGGCTCGCTACGCAGTGTGTATGAAAGGGGAACGCCCCGCGTTCGGATTCTCTTGATCTCGGAATGATCCACGTCGCCCCACCCGGATTCAGACACCTGTCTTGTACGAACGTTGGGCGTAGCCGAGGAGCGCCATGCGTCCGAGGAACGCTGAGCGTAGCTCCGAGGAACGCAGTGCGTTCAGCAGCCTTGCCTGGCTATAAAAGGGTTGCGAAGGCAGCTCATTTTTCACACCAAATTCAACCTTTCTTTCTCTCTCTAGGTTCTCTCTCTAGCTCCCTAACCCCCCTAAGCCTAGGAAAAAACCCCTAGCACCCAAAGGAAGCCCCGAGGCTCCCGGAGTCCCGAGAAAAAGGGTCTTTCGGTTCGGAAACGCTGCTCCGAGCAAAGCCCGGTTTTTAAGAAAACCCGCTGTAAGTGAGCTACGCCTACACAATTTTTAATATAACTTTTAAATAATTATAATAATGTTATTAGGTCCTTAAAATAATTATTTGGGCTATTATTATGAGTTATATTGAGTGTTATTTAACGCTTATATAATAATAATAATAGCTAAACTATTAATTAGTCGCGGTTAACGTTAGACTAAACCCTAGTGGTATTGATACTAGGTTTTGTCGAGGGAAAAATTATTTTGAGATAACGAGGCGCTGTTCGAGTGCCGAGTCACCACCTAATCAGGTGAGTGCATAGTTACTTTCATCTTACACATAGATATGAAGTATTTTATATAAATTACGTGTTATGTGTGCATATTATCTGTATACTTGCTATCTATGCTGGATGAACGATTTTATACAAGTTTTATATGATTTAAACTGTATATGTAATTATATCTACATAATATGTTGGGTAAAACATGGGTAGATGAAATATGAGTTGGATGATGAGTTGAGAGGTGATATAGACCATGAGATAAGGGTGAGAGGTGGACGATGTGAGAAGCCTTTCTCCCAAACGATGGCCCCGTCATTCAGCAGAGTATGGATAACAACCACAGACTATTCTAGACAGTCCAGTGGAACACTAGCAGGCTCGCAACCTGTAGGTGTTGTGAACGATGTGTTCACCCGGTGTACTCTAAACCCTGGCGATCATGCAGACTTGGTGCCTAAACCTTGGCGATCATGCAGACTTGGTGCCAAAACCCTGGCGACTATGCGGACTTAGCGCCTGTTGTATAAACCCTGGTGACTATGCAGACTTAGTGCCTAAACCCTGGCGACTATGCGGACTTAGTGCCTGTTGTATAAATCCTGGCGACTATGCAGACTTAGTGCCTAAAACCCCGGTGATGATGGGCTTCGTGTCGATTCCCTAGGATGATCCTTAGGAATGAATTAACGAGAAATATTTGATTCTTAGGGTAGATCCTTAAGAGTAAAGAAGATAATGGGGATGAGTAATTGGGTTGATTGTTTGATGATTAAACATAATAATTATATTATTGTGGGTTGAAAACCCTATGTACTCACCAGGTTTCCCAACCTGACCCACTCAAGCTTATTTGTATCACATGTGTCGATATGAAGCTACTTTACACTGAGAGATTTAA